ATTACAGGAAACAACGTGGACATCTTCAAGAGGAAACTAGATTGTTTCCTTCAAGGAGTGCCGGACCAACCGGGCTGTGGTGGGTATGTGGGCCTGCGGGCCGCTCCAAGCAACAGCCTGGTGGACCAAACTCTCACAAGTCAAGTCTGGCCCCGGGCCGGGGCTTGGGGAGTAGAAGAACTCCCAGAACCCCATCAACCAGGTATATGTGGGCCTGCGGGACGCTCCAAGCAACAGCCTGTTGGACCAAACTCTCACAAGTCAAGTCTGGCCTCGGGCCGAGCTTGGGGAGTAGAAGAACTCCCAGAACCCCATCAACCAGGTATATGTGGGCCTGCGGGACGCTCCAAGCAACAGCCTGTTGGACCAAACTCTCACAAGTCAAGTCTGGCCTCGGGCCGAGCTTGGGGAGTAGAAGAACTCCCAGAACCCCATCAACCAGGTATATGTGGGCCTGCGGGACGCTCCAAGCAACAGCCTGTTGGACCAAACACTCACAAGTGAAGCCTGGCCTCGGGCCGGGCTTGGGGAGTAGAAGAACTCCCAGAACCCCATCAACCAGGTATGTAAAAGCCTGCGGAAGAACCCCTCCTCAACAGATAAAACAGCGAGGAGGGTTAACTCTCACATCCAACCTTCCTTCCAGGACGCGGTGACGACGACGATAAAGTCCAGGAGCTCGTCGTACCTCCTCCTGGTGGCGCTGAGCTGCCCGTCGTCCACAGGGGTTGGCGCCGACCACGCCCACAGATTCGTCGCCTCTGGTAAGCTTGTTCTCACACCCACAGATATGTAAATGCAGTCCGTTCTCGCACTTGATTATTGTCAATATTTGGCTTATGAATAAGTGCATATGTGACATACTAATTTATTGTGAATATTTGAGTTTACCTTGAAAAGCTGAATAGGAAACACCGACCTAACCTAACGTGTTATGTTAAGTTAGTATGTTAAGATATTACAATTAGTACTTATCCTATACCTATACTGATATTACAGTTTTATAAAAATAATAAAACAAAACTAAAATATTTAAATAAATTGTAAAGTAACTCAGGATATTGTCAAATTTTGTATAAAATCTCTATTGTTTAATAAAACTCAGAGGAAGAGTTAGTGCCTTGGAAAAAATATGAAATCAAATATTCTTCATATGTACTTATTTATAAGCCAAATATTGACCATAAGCAATAAGTCATATATGTGCTGTCTTCTGCGAGATCGGGTTGCAAAACAATGTTGTTTCCCCAGCCTGTCCTCCAAAAATAGAGAGGTAAATGTAACAGCACAAGTAAGTGCAATTATGTACTATTCGTAAGTCATGAATTGTATTTATTTTTACTTAGTGTTAAACCGTAATGTCAAATATATTGTGAATATTTGAGTTTACCTGAAAAGCTAAATAGAAAACCACGACCTAACCTAACCTTCTTAGTGTTTGAAGATAAACATTTTATTGCTTCTTAATTACAGTTAGTACTTAATCTATAGCTATATTGATATTACAATTTTATAAAACTAATAAAACAAAACTAAAATATTTCAATAAATTGTAATGTAACTCAGGATATTTTAAAATTTTGTATAAAATATCTATTGTTTAATAAAACGGAAAAAGAAATTCCTGATATTTAAAAATTGTAATTTTTTTTTTTTTTTGAGATATATACAAGAGTTGTTACATTCTTGTACAGCCGCTAGTACGCGTAGCGTTTCGGGCAAGTCCTTAATCCTACGGTCCCTGGAATACGATCCCCTGCCGCGAAGAATCGTTTTTTCATCCAAGTACACATTTTACTGTTGCGTTAAACAGAGGCTACAGTTAAGGATTTGCGCCCATTAAATCCTCCCTGGCCAGGATACGAACCCATGACATAGCGCTCGCGGAACGCCAGGCGAGTGTCTTACCACTACACCACGGAGACTGCCAAATGACAAATTTAGCTTGAAAACTTCATCCTAAAATTCTTAGTGTCTTGACAGAAAACGAGGAGGATAAATGTGAGGTAAATGTAACAGCCCCATATGTGCAGTTATGTACTATGTATGACAGTAAGGAAATGTACTTATAACACTTAGTATGAAACCGCATTGTCAATTTGGAGAATGGGTTGTTTCCCCATCGTCGCGTTGGGTCGTGTAGGTCCCATGCTCCTGTCGCTGGTACTGGTATTACTGGTACTGAACTAACCGTGCCAGCAATCACCATATATCAACACGCCTCTCATCGCCTTAACCACGCCCCTCCAGCCTCTGGGTGGATGTACGTGGATGACGGGATTACACCGATGGACCAATCACCACCGGCGGACCAACTGCAGATGGTTGTTACCGAGAATGTCCTGACCGTCACCCGCATCCCACCAGCCTCGGGAAGAGAAGGCGTCTGTCGCATCCGTAAAATCTCCACTGACATCGATTCTGTCGCGATCTTCGGCGCTCCTGTTATCACGAAGGTGGGTAGACGTGGTTAATGGGGGTAGTTGTGGGGGTTAGGGGTGGGGGATGGTTGTGGTGGTGGATGGGGGGTGGGAAGGGAGTTGTTGGGAGAGATGTGAACTAGTGGTGGTGGTGGTTGAAGGGTGAAATGGTCGTGGAGGATTCTGTGAATTGTGGTTAGTAGTAGTGGGAGAGGTGGTGGTTGTTGCTGTATAGTGATAGATGTGTGGTAGTGATGGTGGTCGCTGATTTGATTGATAAAGATTAAGCCACCCAAGAGGTGGCACGGGCATGAATAGCCCGTAAGGTGTTAGCTGTGTAGTGATCTTAATTATAGGTAGAATAGCGACTCCTGACTCTCCCACATCTGGAGATGATAAATATAACACCAGATCAGAAATTAGCAAATTTGTCTCCAATCTATATATATGTATATATATTACCATTTACCTCACCACCATCACCATCACCCAGAGACAAGTAACAGGAATGGTTGTCTCTTTCACCCCCAGGTTACTGTCAATGGCGCCCCTGGCTACTTCGTCCAGGACCCGGACACTGGAAAGATCACCGTCAATATGATATCCTTCGACTGGTGCTACGACCACTCTCTCGTTATCGTCTGGACATAGGAGACGATAGGAGCCATAGGCAGTCTGTCTCGACCACCTGAAAGCCTCGATAACAGCAGCCAAGATAAGCTAGGAAATAGCAAGAGGGAAGAGGGAATTACAATATAGATGGGATTTCATTTCTAGAATGCTTAGAAAGTGATTATGAACTGCTTGATGAATTGAGGCGGTGGGTTGAATTTGTGAACTTGTCTGCAAGAAGCCTTCAGGATTTCTATTTTGGTGTATTTATGTGGTTATATATATATATATTTGTATATATATATATACTGTGGGGGAGACAGAGGGACGAGGATCTTAATGAGCTCAACGAGCTTTTTCTGATAAAGGAACGTCAATTTTTTAACCACCTAATGGTTGTTCCATAAAACAATTTTCATTAAGCATCAATGTTCTTCCCCTGGCAGTTCCTAGAGAGAACTAGGCTTGTGAGGTATGTCGGCCGCGTTCAACTCCTCAACATGGGTAAAAAAAATCTAATAATTGATCCATCAGTCTCCACAGACCTTCACTTTCCTCTCTTGGAAACAATGGGTTTAAGTGTATTTTTTCAGAGTCATAAAAAAATACTTACTTCTTTAGGCCGTTAAGTGTATTGATTACGCTCTTTCGTGTGTATGATTTTATAGTGGTATGTGTATGTAGTGGTTTTTCTCGTGTTTCAATGTACGGAGCATACACACGTTTCTTCTTGTTTCATTGTATGGTTCATATACGGGTTCGTAATAGTTTCTGTGAATTGATTATACAAAGGTTTCTTCGAGTCGTCGTCGAGTTTCAATGGTTTTGGTGTAATGACTCTATTAACTCAATGGTTTTGGTGTAATGGCTCTATTAACTCAATGGTTTTGGTGTAATGACTCTATTAACTCAATGATTTTGGTGTAATGACTCTATTAACTCAATAGTTTTGGTGTAATGACTCTATTAGCTCAATGATTTTGGTGTAATGACTCTATTAGCTCAATGATTTTGGTGTAATGACTCTATTAACTCAATGATTTTGGTGTAATGACTCTATTAACTCAATGATTTTGGTGTAATGACTCTATTAACGAGATCGTTGAGGTTCACATATTTGTCAACAGTTACGAATTAACTGATTACATTCTCAAAACAGAATTACCTTTTGACTGTACCTCTCCTCGGCTAGGTAAGATATTTAACATTCTTACAATAATCCTGAAACCAGTTTCCTACATGTCGACTTGATTTGCCCTTAATTACTGTATTATGTATTGTATTATGATTTGATCAAAGATAAATTTGTATATTTTGTAATAATGAACAAGAAAGGCTAAATAAAATTTATGTAAGAATGTTCTATAATTAATTTCCTTAGTAATCAAGTGGCTGAGCAGCAACAATCAGACTTGGATCAGTCTCATATTGGTTTCCGTTGTCGTAACATTTGGGCTTTGTTTGTTGTCCGTGATTACTCTTGATTGGTCAGGGAGGATTGGCGAGAGATGGACAGAGATACAGACAGATAGACAGAGAGAGAGAAACAGACAGAGTACAGAGGCGGTAATATACCAGAAAAGATTCCCCAAATACACAGTTGACAGATGAGCTCTCTATAGAAAAAAAATACATCACGCTACCCACTCTTTCTTTTACTCTGCTGAAAGACAAATATATTTAAATATACTGTGTTTTAAGAAAGAAAAACAACGGCAAAACAACGGCAAAACAACGGCAAAACAACGGCAAAACAACGGCAACAACCGTTGCCTAGAAGAGGCAACGGTTGTGGGTTGAAGTCCACTAAAGCTCAGTTGTCTGGCAAAAAGAGAGACATCGATGACTTCAAGAGGCTTCCTCTTCCCTGTGAATTAAAACCATATGTTTGCTAGTTTCTAACCCATCAGGAGAACCAATCATGGCTCCCAAAAGATTACCAGTAATCTTCTGATTATACAAACGTTCCCAGGTATCCATTTATCTTGCATTCCTACAGTAATCTTAGGGAGATTACACACTTCTAGAAAAGTATTGTTAGTTGAATTTTATTATTACAAGTATTTTTAAGAGGAAAAATTAATTTCGTGAGTTTTGGTGTTGTGAGGTTAACGTATAGTGAGGTTTATTTCCTCTGGTCGTTAATGACTTCTGTGAATTTCTAATGAATGTCTTCGTTCCTCTGATACTCACAAGATGTTGTATACTCACAAGATGTTGTATTTTCAATAACAACACTAATTCACTTTATGGTTGTTGACGCGGTCAGGACTGACTGACGATTTACGCGGCTCTATGAAGTGACCGGAGCTATGATAAGTAAAGCCTGGAAAAAAGTCTGGGTGGCACAGAAAGGCTTACATGTATCGGGCTTAAAGTCCGTGATCACTTTACTGATATTTTTATTGTGAGTATAGTCATTGTTAAAAAAAAATTGTATTGTTAAATACGTAATGAAGAGCCTTTAACATTTGGTTAAAGCGTCCTTGTTTGGTAAGTCTGCTGGCGTTATGGTTTGTTGTTTGCTTGTTTGCTTGTTTAGATTTATATATGCAAATGTTTGTAAACTCACAGACACACACACACACACACACACACACACACACACACACACACACACACACACACACACACACACACACACACACACACACACACACACACACACACACAGAAGAAAAAAGAGGTGACAGAAGAAAAAGAGGTGATATGATCACTACATACAAAATAGTAACAGGAATTGATAAAATCGATAGGGAAGATTGCCTGAGACCTGGAACTTTAAGAACAAGAGGTCATAGATTTAAACTAGCTAAACACAGATGCCGAAGAAATATAAGAAAATTCACTTTCGCAAACAGAGTGGTAGACGGTTGGAACAAGTTAGGTGAGAAGGTGGTGGAGGCCAAGACCGTCAGTAGTTTCAAAGCGTTATATGACAAAGAGTGCTGGGAAGACGGGACACCACGAGCGTAGCTCTCATCCTGTAACTACACTTAGGTAATTACACTAAGGTAATTACACACACACACACACACACACACACACACACACACACACACACACACACACACACACACACACACACACACACACACACACACACACACACACACACACACACACACAAGACATGATGGACTATGTCACCCAAAAATGTCAGGAGGCTGTAAGCAGGTTTGTCCCAGCCCGACAGGAAAAAACAGAGAAGCAAAGGAAGTATCCGTGGTTTAATAAGGAATGTATGAAAGCAAAGGAGCAAAACAAAAGGGCATGGAGGAACTTCCGTAATAACAGAACACCAGAAAGTAGAGAGAGATACCAGAGAATCAGGAACGAGTATGTCAGTGTGAGAAGAGCAGCTGAGAAAAGGTATGAAAATGATATAGCTAATAAAGCCAAGACCGAACCCAAGCTACTACACAGTCACATAAGGAGGAAGACAACAGTGAAGGAACAGGTGATGAAACTTAGGGTGGGCGAGGACAGGTACACAGAGAATGACAAAGAGGTGTGTGAAGAACTCAACAAAAGGTTCCAGGAGGTCTTTACAATAGAACAGGGAGGTGTCGCGGCGCTATAAGAGGTGGCAGCAAACCAGGTGACCTTGGATAGGTTCGAAATTACAAGAGATGAGGTCAAGAAGCACCTATTGAAGCTGGATGTGAGAAAAGCTGTTGGGCCGGATGGAATCTCGCCATGGGTATTGAAAGAGTGTGCAGGAGCACTTTGCCTACCACTCTCCATAGTGTATAGTAGGTCACTGGAAACGGGGGACCTACCAGAAATATGGAAGTCTGCTAATGTAGTACCAATATACAAAAAGGGTGACAGACAACCCTGGAAACACAAACCGAAACTGTCTCTATTTTCCGCTTGTTACAACTTGTAATAAAGTTGTTACATCTTGGCTTAACGTGTTTATGACGTATTAGAACGTTGTTACAACTTGCTATATTGGTTGTTATAACTGGTTAGGAGGTGTTAAAACTTGTCCGAACGTTGTACCAACGTCGTAGTTTCGGTGTGTGTTTGGCGGGAAGAGGCACTGAACTACAGGCCAGTGTCCTTAACTTGTATACCATGCAAGGTGATGGAGAAGATTGTGAGAAAAAACCTAGTAACACATCTGGAGAGAAGAGACTTCATGACAACCCATCAACATGGGTTCAGGGAGGGTAAATCTTGCCTACAGGATTGATAGAATTCTACGATCAGGTGACAAAGATTAAACAAGAAAGAGAAGGGTGGGCGGACTGCATTTTTTGGACTGTCGGAAAGCCTTTGACACAGTACCCTATAAAAGGTTGATGCATAAGCTAGAGAAACAGGCAGGAGTAACTGGTAGGGCGCTCCAGTGGATAAGGGAGTACCTAAACAATAGGAAGCAGAGAGTTACAGTGAGGGGTGAGACCTCAGACTGGCGTGAAGTCACCAGTGGAGTCCCACAGGGCTCTGTACTTGGACCTATCCTGTTTCTGATATACGTAAATGATCTCCCAGAGGGTATAGACTCATTCCTCTCAATGTTTGCTGACGACGCCAAAATTATGAGAAGGATTAAGACAGAGGAGGACAGCTTGAGGCTTCAAGAAGACCTGGACAAGCTGCAGGAATGGTCGAACAAATGGCTGTTAGAGTTTAATCCAAGCAAATGTAATGTAATGAAGATAGGGGTAGGAAGCAGGAGACCAGATACAAGGTATCACTTGGGAGATGAAATACTTCAAGAGTCCGAGAAAGAGAAAGACCTGGGGGTTGATATCACGCCAGACCTGTCCCCTGATGCTCACATCAAGAGGATAACAGCAGCAGCATATGCCAGGTTGGCTAACATAAGAACGGCCTTTAGAAACTTGTGTAAGGAATCTTTCAGAACATTAAATACCACATATGTCAGACCAATCCTGGAGTATGCGGCACCAGCATGGAGTCCATATCTAGTCAAGCATAAGACTAAAATGGAAAAGGTTCAAAGGTTTGCCACCAGACTTGTACCCGAGCTGAGAGGTATGAGCTACGAGGAGAGACTACGGGAATTAAACCTCACTTCGTTGGAAGACAGAAGAGTTAGGGGGGACATGATCACCACATTTAAGATCCTCAAGGGAATTGACAGGGTTGATAAAGACAGGCTGTTTAACACAAGGGGCACACGCACTAGGAGACACAGGTGGAAACTGAGTGCCCAAATGAGCCACAGAGATATTAGAAAGAACTTTTTTAGTGTCAGAGTGGTTGACAAATGGAATGCATTAGGAAGTGATGTGGTGGAGGCTGACTCCATACACAGTTTCAAGTGTAGATATGATAGAGCCCAATAGGCTCAGGAACCTGTACACTAGTTGATTGACAGTTGAGAGGCGGGACCAAAGAGCCAGAGCTCAACCCCCGCAAGCACAACTAGGTGAGTACAACTAGGTGAGTACACACAAACGGAAAGAGAGAAAGATCTAGGAATTGATATCACACTAAACCTGTCTCCTGAAGCCCACATAAAAAGAATTACGTCTGCGGCATATGCGAGGCTGGCTAACATCAGAACAGCGTTCAGGAACCTGTGTAATGAATCGTTTAGAATCTTGTACACCACATACGTAAGACCAATCCTGGAGTATGCGGCCCTAGCATGGAGCCCGTACCTAGTCAAGCACGAGACGAAGCTGGAAAAAGTCCAAAGGTATGCTACTAGACTAGTCCCAGAACTAAGAGGCATGAGTTACGAGGAAAGGCTGCGGGAAATACACCTTAAGACACTGGAAGACAGAAGGGTAAGGGAACACATGATCACAACCTACAAAATTCTCAGGGGAATCGACCGGGTAAACAAGCATAAACTATTCAACACTGGTGGGACGCGAAAAAGGGGACACAGGTGGAAACTGAGTACCCATATGAGCCACAGGGACGTTAGAAGGAACTTTTTCAGTGTCAGAGTAGTTAACGGATGGAATGCATTAGGCAGTGATGTGGTGGAGGCTGACTCCTTACACAGTTTTAAATGTAGATATGATAGAGCCCAGTAGGCTCAGGAATCTGAACACCAGTTGATTGACGGTTGAGAGGCGGGACCAAAGAGCCAAAGCTCAACCCCCCCAAGCACAAATAGGTGAGTACACACACACACACACACTCACACACACACACACACACACACACACACACACACACACACACACACACACACACACACACACACACACACACACACACACACACACACACACACACATGAAGAGCGCCTGAGGGAACTGTGCCTTACGACACTAGAAAGAAGAAGGGAGAGGGGGGACATGATAGGAACGTATAAGATACTCAGAGGAATTGACAGAGTGGACATAGACGAAATGTTCACACG